AGTTGCTGGTCGCCCAAAATAACTAAAGAGCTAAACTAGTTGGGTGACCGCAATATATTAATTAAATATAAATGTAAGGTCAGAAAAGAGGCATTATACATTCTACATTAATTTTAAACTCTTATCAAGTAAATAGATTACAGAACAAATAATTCTTAAGCATGTATACAATAAGAAAGGAAAGGAAATAAATAACTAAATAACAGAAACACCAAAACATAGCAATTAGCAGTAAAATACAAATTGATGAAATGCATAGATAATTCTCTTTTAAATAAACAAGGTGATAGAATCTTAAATCTCTCATCAGTTTCATTCCATAATCTAGGTCCATTAAATCGAATATTAAATTTACCATAGTTTGTTCGAATTTTTGGAACATAAAAAGTAGTCATAGTTGCAAAGCGAGTGTTGACATTATGCTTAGTTATAATAAAAAATGAGTCAAATATCTTTGGTAATTTTCTGATAAAAAATTGATGCAGGAAGGAAAGAGTTTGAAGTTTAATGTGATCCTGTAGTTTTAGAGGTTTAAGTTGAAAAAACAAAGGACTTGTATGGGTATCAAAATCAGAAAAAGTAATTAGACAAATTACCTTTTTTTGCATTTTTTGGAGTGGTTTAATATTATGATCATAGGTGTTACCCCAGACTATACAACAGTATGAAAAAAAAGGAAGAATGATGGCAAGATATAATTGAACTAAAATTTTGATATTAACATAATGCCTAGTTTTACAAAGAGCACCTATTCCTCTAGATAATTTTTTTGAAAGTTGTTGGATATGTTTTTTCCAATTAAGATGACAGTCTATGAGAATTCCCAGGTACTTAACACTTTTATGCTCATTTATTGTTGTGCCATCTATTTCAATTCTCAAAGAGTACTTTAGTTTCTTCTGATAAGGATGTAATATTACAAAATGTGTTTTATCAATATTAAGAGATAGTTTGTTGGCACAAAGCCATGTATTAATTTCACTGAGTTCCTGATTAACAGTTTCCTCAAGATGCTGTAAGTCTTTATCAGAATAAAACATTAGAGTTATCTGCAAACAGATGAAAATCAAAAATAGATGAAGAATTCATGAAATCATTGATATAGATTAGAAACAAAAGAGGGCCAAGTACAGAGCCTTGGGGAGCCCCACAAGTTATATGCAATGTATTTGAGTCTGAATTATGAACGGAGACAAATTGCTGCCTGTTAGTTAAATACGATCGGAACCATTCATTTGCTATGCCACGAATACCATAATGCTCAAGTTTAGCTAGGAGAATACTATGATCTATTGTATCCGTAAGGCCTTACTTAAGTCCAAAAATATACCACAAGAGCATAATTTTGCTTAAATGGCTCTTTGAATTTTATCTGTAATGAGGATTGTAGCGTGGAAAGACAATACTTTGCGTGTTCCTGCTCTTGGAGAAATGGTAGAGGTTTTTGCTCTTTCGGGAGGATGGTCGCCAGTCCATGTTCGCAAATTTAGCATATTATCATGTCGCATTATGCAAATTACGTAGGGTAGTCCTGTCGATCGAAAACCATCGAGACCTCTTTCCTGTTTTGAACTGATTTGATTGAAAACTAGGAACAACGATCGTCAAAAACAAAAGAAAAGAGGCATATGGCTAAAAGACCCAATCTTGTCCACCCCATGTACCAATTTCTGTCATGAACTCTTGCTCAGCCTGATATGCAAATTTTGTGGTGCTTTGTGAACAAGACGTAATTTGCCTAGAGTCTCAAAACGGTACCCGGTCCACGGTAAACTGCATGGGAACACATGCTTGAACTAGGTTGCTTTATTGTCAGCCCCTTTATGGTTTCCTTCAGAATTTTCAGAAAAATTTGTATGAAAAGTATAAAGAGGACAAGTGTGAAAAGTGAGCTACGAAGAATTCGTTGAAAACTAAGCCGGTTTTAATCGTGGCTGTAGCGGCGGGCTACTCTGTTCATGATAAACCTCACAAATGAAATTAACCAAAAGGTAAAATGAAGCACTTTGAAATTTCGAGAATATCATATCCAAGTTGGGGTCAGTCATTTGCATTGTTCTTTACGCTTTTTTAGTTGCCATGATTTCTAAAACAAAAACGATTTT